AGGAAGTGCTGGAAAATTGTCATGTACCACTTCCGTGTTTTACGGTGCACCGAATTTGTTCCGAGCATCTGGTCAGAGGTGTCAACTCCCCCCAATGTACTTATTGTACTGCTGAACTGCTGTTGGCCTGGGAACAGGGACGTTCTCTTTTTGCCCATCCTCTGTCATCTGCCACCTCAGCACGGTCTCCCCGCTGTACACTGTGTGGACAGTTGTGCACATGGTGACCTCCCTTGTGTCCATCCACTTCACAAACAAAAGGACACCATCTCTGATCCAGCGAATGGAGCCTCTTGGTGACCTTTTGCTCAGGGCATTTTGTTTGGCTGAAGGAACACCAACACTTCCTTCTCGACAAGTTCCACATGCACCGAATCCCAGCTGGTGCAGATGTCGAAAGAGGAGAGTGCTTGTGTAGAAATTGTCACAGTAAATCACATAGCCTGACCCCAGGTAGTCGCGATTCACCAGTGACGTGACAACATCAAATGACAGGCCTTTCCCAGATGCAAATTTTGACTTCCCGGTGTAGATTTTGAAGTCAATGGTGTAGCCGTTGACATCAGCTAACACGAAAAGTTTTATGCCCCACTTAGTAGGCTTGGCCTTCATATATTGCTTGAAGAATATCCTGGCTTTGGTGGCAATCATCCGCTCATCAACAGAAATGTTCTGTCTAGGGTGGTAAACAGACATGCACCTGTTCCTCATAATGTCCAAGACTGGTTGCACTCTGTGGAGACAGTCATATTCCTCTGTGCCCCTTTTCTTGTCATTCTCTGCATCTTCCATTGGATCACTGATGTGCAGATTGTAGGAGATTGCCAAGAAACGATCCCTGGACATCACAGTAGCGGGAAAGGGAACGTGAAACAAAGTCTTCTTCCTCCAGAAGTCCCTCACTTTTGGCAGATCCATCACACCCATGTAGAGAAGCAGACCTATGTACTTCTTCATTTCTTCAGGGTATACATCAGCCCATGTGAACTTCCTGCCCCTCTCCAGATTTCTCACCGCATTCTTGTTTGTGTTTGCACACAAGATGTTTACGACCTCTTCGTCAAAGTACTGACTGAAAATATCAAGAGGAGACCATTTTCCAAATGTGAGTGGAGGCTGCACTCCAGGTGTTCTTTTAGGAGTAAACCTTGGAACATTGGGCACTATATCAGGATCTGCTTCAGTGTTCCATCTTCCATCATGAGTTACTGGTGAGAGGCTACGCGATTCCTCACGGCCATGAATGCGCCCACATCTACGGCCCCTCTGAGGTGATGTTGTGCTCGATGTGGATGGCCCATTTGCTTCTTCGTAGGTAACTTGAGAAGCCACACTGGGGGGAAAAAATAGAAGCATGTGTTACAAACTCACTATATTATATTCATAAACTAAGTAACTACAATAATAATAATACAATAATGAAATAATATAAAATAAAGCCTGTAGTTGCTTACACACACGTACATGCACGAACACGCATACACACCTATACACAAACATACAGATATACACACATACATACATGCATGTACACACATACACATTCATATACAGACACGCACACACCTATACACATGCACACATAAACATACAGATATAAATATGCACACATGGATGCATGTACACACATGCACAATCGCATTTATACACACACATACAGATATAAATATGCACATGCATGCATGCACGTACACACATGCACAATCGCATTTATACACACACATACAGATATAAATATCCACACATGCATGTACACACGCACACACACATGCACAATCACACTTATACACACACATACAGATATAAATATCCACACATGCATGTACACACGCACACACACATGCACAATCACACTTATACACACACATACAGATATAAACATGCACACATACAGTTGCACTTATACACACACAGAGATGCACATGCACACATACACACACATAAGCAAAAATATGAATGCTATGGCATTCGGACGGGCTCTTTAATATGACGTTGTAACATGCACTCGTCTCACTGAACGTGACGTCTATGTCTGCCACATTACTGTTCGTCTGCCTGAACGTGACGTCTGCGTTTGCAGCAAGGGTTTCCAGCACATTCCATACACTTATTCGTTGCTTTATTATACCTATTCATTCTCTATTTTTGTTTTCACTTATCCTCAATTATGTTTAATTAGCAATTAAGTGCTTTTTACCTTTTTTATGTATAGTTTTGTTTTTTCCAAATGGTAAATATTTATACAAATGATATACAAATTTCTGTATGCCATTGCTTCTTGTCAACATATTCACAGATACTTATGAAAACAATTGTTCTAGCATGTATTCACCACTAGGAGTCTCTAGACCAACACAAAATAACACATTTTAAAACATTGCTATAAACATTTGGGCTAATTTAACTAAAATAAACAATTCAGCAGTTACATTTTTTGAAACTGAGATGTATATAAATAAGCTGAATAAATAAGTTTTCCATTGATGTATGGTTTGTTATGATCGGACAATATTTGGTCGATATACAACTATTTGAAAATCTGGAATCTGAGGGTGCAAATAAAATCAAAATATTGAGAAAATCATCTTTAAAGTTGTCCAAATGAAGTTCTTAGCAATGCATATTACTAATCAAATACAAGTCAAATTAAATAATTTACACTGCAAAATGACAACTGCAAAAAAAATTATGAGAGTAATGTTTCAAATACAATTGACTAGTTTCTAAGTCCATGTTGTCAATATAACACTGCACTCGGTCAGTGATGTAAACTATGTCAGTCACTGAAAATGCACAAGACTGGACTTTATGTATATGAATTATATCAATTTTAACATCACAAAATTTTTTTTAGTGCACACAAACACAACTGGTGCTATGAATAAAGAATTTTATTCATCACTATTATGACAAATACATGTACATCTGTTTAGTCCTTTTTCACAACAAATGACGAAGAAATAAGAAATAACAATATGTGATGGGGTGTGCCAATAAACTACATTACCCCAAATGTGGGTGCCTGTAAAATGCCCTCCTTCTTATAAAATATCAAAACATTATAAATAATTAAACTCTCAGTAATAAAAAAAAGCAAAGGACAAATACAATAGAATAAAAAGATAAAAATGAAACAATCTGTGCTTTAATATTTTTTTTATGCAATTCTCAAGCGGTTTACAACCTACTACAAAAATGAATAATCAAATGTAAAATAACACGGCATAGTCTTCACAACTTTTTTGCTTCTTATTAAAGCTACAATAGTCCTTCAGTCAAGAGCAGTGTGTGATTTTGAATTTGTCTTTTGTTGTTTGATTAATATTAAGCACAGTCGCCAGCAGGAATATTAGGCTGCTGTCACTTTAAGAGCCGCACGGCTCCAATTTACCATTACATGCGTAATTTCATTCTCAACTCTTTACGTTCATTTATTACATGACCGACGAAGGTATACATGAATAATCACTAACGCATTTTTAAAACAAATTTTCGTGTATTTGACTGTTTAGGGCAGGCGCTAGAAGATGACTTTACATGTCCATGTTGTGTTCCGATTCGGAGCACATATCCCATTTTGCAAAAGTCACGTTACATAATATTACCGATTTGCACGCGAAATATGGCTTTTATGGAGGAACGACAGCGTAGCTCTGGAAAAGGAGGCGGAATGGGGCGCAACAATCGTTTTCAATCTCGATTATTGTATTTTCATAATCGTTGAAGGCTAAATCGAAATCGAAACTGTTTTTCGATTAATTGCACAGCCCTAGTTACGATATCACGAATACAGCAATTGCGTCGGCGCCGACACATTCGGTTTTTAAAGGAGCCTCGCTGCTGCAACAGTCACTAAATAAATTACACTTGGCTTTTTTAACATACTGATAGTGATTTTCTATGTTAGTCTCAGCTACTCCGCAACGTTTCGGCTCTGGGAAAAAATTTAATTGGTAAGCAAGACGAATGGGTTAGCTAAATACTGAAATACAATTTGTTTTTACGTAACAAAATGTTTAGAATTCTGGAGCCTTGGGTTGCTAAGAAAAGTGGATTCTGAGAAGGATAGCGGGAAGTTAATAGACGCTTAGAAAAGCCATGTTGGTATTTGCCGTTTTGCTTGTTTCTTGCGTATTGGGAATGATTGCATTAAAACAGATTGCAGGCCCCGCGGCCTACAGATTACTGTAACCTGTAAAACCTGTAAAAGAGAAAATAACAGTCTGGTCCTTCACTTTAAGTCTTAAATGCTTTTTAAGCATTACATTACAAATCATTAGTGTCACCAATTAAATCAATCAATATAATGCAAATTTGATCACATCTTTTGTCTCATCTCTTCATTTTACCTTCTTTAGTTAACGTTTAAATTATAGAGCCCTTTTATATTTAACAGCAATATTCGTGTTCACGAACAAAATTAGATTGAGTGCGTTTATGCATCATTATAACTCCAAAGATGCTTGTATTTAACTATACTAGCTTCTTAAAGATATTGCTGTACACAACTCAACTCTTTTTTTCCCGCCATAAGAGTGAATTCGTAATGGATCGAACACAGATTCAAAGGCTTCTTTTCGAACACGTGGCCAGAAAGCGCGCCAAACGCGATCATAGCGCTTCAATGAGACACTTAACGTTATGCATCAACTCTCTAATGTGAACAAATACGCGTTTTATAACTGGAAACATGCACAGTAAATATAATGACCACTGAAGCATACTTAAATCACCTTTTCTCCCGTGCACATTAAGCAAAACAGCTTCTCACAGTACTTCTGAAGAACAGTTTACAAACACAACGCATGGTAACAGTTCAATTTGTAATGGTTTCTCTGTGAACTTTAGTCCTTTTACCTGGAAAACAGGGTAAACTAAAAAGATCTGCGTGTGGTCCTTCACAGCTCCTCTGCTGATGTGAGGAGGACGCATGCGCAGTAGCTCCTGTTCGCGGCACCACAGAATAACAAAATAAAAGTCCCCTTTTCGTTCTGTCCATGTTAATACATTATACAATCGTCAATTTGTATGCTGACACTGAATCAGGAAATAAAGCAATATAACCAATAAACCAATAACTCTCTATATATGTAAAACCAATGCTTTCAAGTCTTTGCCATTATAAATGGAGAAGCGCTTAAGCAAAGACAAAAGAAAAAACAGCTTACATACTATAATGTACATATTTTGTGTGTATCACATCAGCACGTAATGTATATAAAGGATTAAATAAAGTACAGCTGTTACTATAGTCTTTTATATTATTGCCTACTAGACTACATATTACGTAGGTTAATTCATGTGTATTCCTTGAGAATGAACACCAAATACACTCTTTGTCCTAACGACTTTTAAACTCTTGTGCCCCTCTTTATACCCAACAGGAAATCCATATATTCGTAGTATATAAGTAGTAGCAAATTTACATGGGTTTAATGATGCAGAGCTAATTTAGTCAACATTGCTAATGATATGTTTTCCTACATTTTCTTCTGATGGAGCATTAAAACAGTAGAAGGACACCCCTAAACAATATGTGTACACTCTAAAAAATGCTGGGTTAAAAAGGGACAAACCCAGCGGTTGGGTTGTTTTAAACCCAACCGCTGGGTCAAAACAACCCAACA